GAGTTTTATAATCCAGTGAGCCTTATAATCCAGTGAGCCTTATAATCCATTGAGTTTTATAATCCAGTGAGCCTTATAATCCAGGGAAGTTTATAATCCAGTGAAGTTTATAATCCAGTGAGCCTTATGGATCAATTCTAGTTGTGCTTACTGACCTCGAACTGATTTAATGTGTTACACGGCGCTCATAAATCTGTCCAAATGAACTTGTTTGGCTTAATACGCCTCATAATCCGGTGCACCTTATAGTCCGTAAAATACTGTACCGAAACAACTTTATTTAAGGTATTTGTTTTTAGCTTTATATTTTTTTTACATCTAAATCTGTAGTGTCTGGGTTGTTCAACATCATAAAAGTTTACGTTGTCATTTTTTTCCTCATCTGGATTATTTAAGATAGTTTATAGACTCATTTTTACACAATAAAAATATATCTTTGGACAGTTTGAGAGTACATTCTACACTTAAGTCTAATGAAAACTACACTGCTGCGCACGTGTCTGTCTGCAGAAAATGTTTTGCTTACCTTAACGTTAGTTTTTGTGTGTGTCTTCAACAGGTAACGCTGTATGAATGTCACTCTCAGGGAGAAATAAGACTCCTGCAGTCCTACGTTGATGCAGATGTATCCTTCCTCCTGCTTATTTGCAAATTAAGCTCCCTGCCTTGTGTCATTTGCTTCACTGAAGTTTTATTATTTCTCTATGTTTGACTATTTGCAGTTAAGCAGAAGTATGATATTTAAAAAAACACCTCAATATAGTTCCAGATGGTTAATATCTGCTAAAACCGACCCAAGTGGAGTTTTGACCCAGATTTTCTTGACTAAACGTGTTCAAAGACAGATGAGAACTTCTACACGTGTGCCTGGACCTACGACACAAACACGAGTCATCCTCTGCTGGCTGTAGCCGGGTCCCGAGGCATCATCAGGGTCATCAACCACATCACAATGCAGTGCATCAAGGTGAACTAGTCGTATAAACAACATGGTTGGTAAAAACAACAAAAACGTGCACTCGTCAAACAACAGATTCAAGGATTCTTCTGTCTTGACTCGTTTGTTAAAGGTTCTGCCTCTGAAGCCGCTTCCCCATTTTGTAGCTTTGTTTCCTTCACTGATGGAGCAATTTTGTTGTTTATTTGTAGGGTTTTTTATCTTAAAGATTTTTCTAAGACTTCAGTGACTCATTCAGGTTTTATTCACTGCAGAGCATTTATAGATGTGTTTTACACAAAACGTCCTCCTTCTTTTCAGATGTTTCGTTTTACAAAATGCACTTTGCTGTTACACAAAGATATGCTGCTGATTGGCTTCAGCATGTTCATTGTCCCCTGTTGCAAAGCAGAGAAGGGAACTGGAAATACCGCCCTCCCGTCTGTGTTGTGAGCTGGATAGCTTGAAAAATAAGTCAGGTACTGGCTTCCATTTTGGTGTGTGGCTGCATCTCGGCGTAAGAAATGTCATTAAGTTGAGCCCATCCACCTGACATCTGGCCTGGTCTCGTTGGCGCCACCATGTACAGATTGTGAGATTATGGTATTGTGGTGTACCTCAAGGCTCTGTTTAAAGTACCCTGGACTTTGATTTACAAAAGTTGTTTTTAAAATTTGTTTAAAAATGAAGTTTGACCTGAAATTTCTAGATTTTTATCCCCCCCCCCCCCCCCCCCCCAATGGCTTTGTAGCGAGGCACATGCGTTTCTTCTCTCTCCCTGTTCTCCTCCTGCTTTTTTGCTCTCTGTCCGTGTATTGGAGTAGCTCCTATTTTTACACATCTTCCAAAATGAAAACTACCAACTGGACTTTTGATGCAAATGACAAAATCTTTTCAACAAAGCGACAGGGTCCTGGAGAACCCTCATCTGCTCAGACGACACTCATGCCGCTGGATATATCTCTGGGGGATGTGGAATGTGATGTAGCTACCTCTGCTATCAATCAAGGACGCTGAAATTGCATATAATTGGATTTATGATAACTGGATCCTGGTTTATCAACATACAAAGAAGATGGCCGCAGCTAATTTGGACCTCGTCAGGCTGCTGCCTTTGTGAAGGTTTGGTTCGTGCTTTGAGGACTCAAAATCAGCTGATTTACGAGCTAAACCGTAAGATGGTAGTGATTTGAATTGCAGGCCACCTGCGATTTTCGGACTCGGTCAGCATGAACACGACCTTGAAGAGGCTCGTAAGCACGGACCAGTAGGATGCACCCTAATCTGGCCATTTCGGGTCTTGGAAGTACCAGTACAGACTCAAGGCTGACAGAAAAATTTTGCCTGAATAAATCAACAATTGTGGCTTATCTGAATCTGACTCACTGGTTGGCCTCGAAACAGGCCGACTTATGAATTTCTCCTGGGAAATGTGTAAACTAAGGAACAGCTTTGTTTTACGCAACTCCCCCTCCAACTTCTGTGAAGGCTTATCAGAACTGTGCCGGCTGATCATCATCTTATCAGAACAATGGACTATCTGTTAGTGCTTCATGGACCGCCTCATCGTCAAATACATATGTAACGTATTCATGAATGTGCTGCTGACAGAGGGTTTTATTTTTATATCTTAAATCATGTCCTGATAGGACAAGGTGTGAAGAGATCTTTTTTGTAATGGCAGTATCCTCTCCTCGTGGCTTTGTCCCTTTTTCTATCTAAAAAATTATTCTGAAAAGGATAAGAAGGCCACGCTCTTAAAGAGCAGCAGCTACGTGCACTTCGTCCATTTTTCGGACGCCTGTACGGACAGATTCTCGTTTTATCTTGGTACAATCATCCATCCATCCGTTATCTTTTACCCGCTTCTTCCATTTTGGGTCACGGGGGTCACCGGTGCCCATGTCCAGCAATCACTGTGCGAGGGGCGTGGTACACCCTGGACATGTCGCAAGTCCATCACAGGTACACATAGAGACAAACAACCATTTGGTACAATCATAATAAAGCTTATTCTGATTCTGTTTTGACAATTCAATTTCAATCAGGTCTCTCTTGTGAATGAGTCCCCGAGGCTTAATGGGATTAACCTGTCTAAATCAAGCTTGAATGAAAATTTCACAATTTACTTTCTGTTTGTCATGACAGACTTAAGTTATCCATTTAATGCACCAATTAATTAAATTAATCAGGTTCAAAGGGTACAGGTGATCTAAACTTTAGGTTGCACTTTAAACCAACGGGATAATTAATCGTGATTTTGTTCGTATTCAGCATTACGTTGGTCATGGGAACGCCATCAACGAGCTCAAGTTTCATCCGAGGGACCCAAGTCTCCTCCTGTCTGTCAGCAAAGGTAAAATAATAAACACAAGCTTTTATCGATAAATACATTTGAATAAAACAAACGAGTCGTTTTGAAATTGAGTCACGTATGTAGCAAATGAGCTGATCTTGGTTAACTTTTACAAGCTGTTTAAAATCATAAAAACAGGTCTTTTGTCCAAGTTGTGTCTAAATAAAGTTTTTTGGTGTTTTTTCTCTCCACAGATCACGCTCTTCGCCTGTGGAACATCCAGACGGACACGTTGGTCGCCATATTTGGAGGTGTTGAAGGACATCGAGATGAAGTCCTGAGCGCTGTAAGAGAAAACCACAGTTTATTATCCAATAAGAAGAACGTTGGATCCCAAACAAAGAACATGACCTCAGGATATAAATACCGTATTTTCTGCCGTACACGTCGCACCGCCCTATAAGTCGCATCAGTCCATATTTTTCAAATAAAGTGGAAAAATCCATAAATATGTTGCTTCGCCGTATACGTCGCATCTATTATTTGTCACCGCTGACGTGTCGCGTTTGTTACGCGTCACCGCTGACAACCTGGAAATGTGGACCGGTGTTTTGACAAAAACCGATGGGCTGCCAAATGGCGGCCACGGGAGTGCACGGGAGGACTTTAACAAGAATTTAACAAGATTAACACTTAAAAATAATTATTTGTTTGCTTGAAATTATATTAAAAGTGTCTCAGTCTAACATTTGCTTAATAAATGCACTTTAATGGTCAAATCAGCTGCATTTAAAAAATAGTTTTGCTGCCTCGGTGCTCCATGAACGTGCAGAGGACGAGAAAAAGGAAAGAGGAACACGGCTCGTTTCTCCGAAATTTTACAAGAAAAGCACCTAAACAATTATTTGTTTGCTTGAAATTATAGCAAAGGTGTGTCTCAGTCTAACATTTGCTTAATAAATGCACTTTAATGGTCAAATTAGCTGCATTTCACCGGGGTGGTGCAGCTGTTTTGACGGTTCCAAGCAGAGAGCAGAATGAAGGTGGAGAGTCTATGGCAGGCCGATTGAGTCATTAAAAGCTGGTGAAGATTCTCAGTCATACAGGACATGGTAAATTCTAAAAAGTTCAAGAAAAAAACAATAAAGTATAAAATATAGTATAATAAATAAAGTCCAGTTGTTTTTGTCTTGAACTTTTTAAATTTGTCATTATAGCCATGTTTACCTATTACATGATACAACAGCATGCCATACAACCATTACTACTCTGCTACCATCAAGTGGCTGAAAGTGGTACTGCTCTTTTTTTATTATTATTTTTTTTTTTTAGTCAGAATGTATGAAAACAGTTATCTCAGCCAAAAATTTGTTTATAAATATGGGAAAAATTCATAAGTATGTCACTTAAGCCTATAAGTCACAGGGCATGTAAATTATGCAAAATACTGCGACTTATAGGCCGAAAAATACGGTAACAATTTATTTTTAAACTAAAAACATTGTTTCGTTTTTTTTTTTCTTTCATGCAGCCTAAAAGTTTATAAAATAAACAGTTTATTTACGAGTGTAAAATCAAAATTGTGTCTTTAAGACTAAAACAAAAATTTCTGGTAAACTTTAAAAATGTTCTTTGGAAAGTTGCGCTGTGATGTTTCATGTTAAAAGCTTTATCATGGAATTAAATATAAATTTAAGCATATTTTAAACTTAACTATCACATCCAAAGAAAAAAAAAAGTTTTACTATTGCAAATAATGACTTTCTGGGTATCTGATGACACCTTTGGAGTTTTACGACCACATCTGACTTTTTAGCTGAGCATCAATATTTTTGATTGATTAGTTATTTTTGTATCACTAATGTCTATCAGCTGTAGCAGCCATCTTGATTTGGGTTGATTAGATGTACATCCAACTTAAAAAAAAACTGGTAACATTAACAGAATTTTAGCCATTTTTGTGTTTTTAAGCTCGGTCAGCTGTGGCGGCCATCTTGAATTGGTCAATATTTGTAAAATTATCTCAATATTTGAGCATTTAACAGAGAGATGTAATTTTGGGGATCCTAACTGAGCTAAAACAGAAAAGGTTTTGTCTGATTTATTTCCAGAAAGTGAGAAAATAAAGGTTTAGTGTTTCTGTGCAGTGTATGTAAACATCTGGTTTAAAGTACCTCTGTAGAAAATACAGTTTCCATTTAGTCGCCTCTTTCACCTTTCGTTCTGTAATTATAAATATTATAATTTACTCATTCCTGGTAAACCCAACTGTTTTATTTATTATTATTATTTATTTTTTACCGTGGTAGGATTTTGATCTGCTGGGTGAGAAGATAATGTCCTGTGGGATGGACCACTCGCTGAAGCTGTGGAGGATCAACTCGGAGAGGCTGCAGAAAGCCATCCGTGGCTCGTACGAGTACAACCCCTCAAAGACAAACAGGTGACGCAATCATTTAGGTTTGTCAAAAGAGTTTAAAGCAAAACAGCTGTTTATAGTTATTAAAAAAATAAAGAGTTATGTTCTCTCCAGGCCATTTGTCTCTCAGAAAATTCACTTTCCCGACTTCTCGACGCGAGACATCCACAGAAACTACGTGGACTGTGTGCGGTGGCTCGGAGATCTCATTCTTTCCAAGGCAAGTGTTGCTGTTTTGAAAGCTTCAAGCTTCTTTTAGTCATAAAAACGGCCGTAATTCTCACCTGTTTCTAAGCTGCACATACTAAATATAAGATGTGCACGAGCTGGTTCGCCTACTGCAGCCGTAACATCCACTCCACAGACTGGGCAACGTCTCCTCTCTTTGTATTTTGAATAAATAATCAAAAATAAAAATGCGCGAGGACTTTGGACTTTTAGGGGCCGAGATTTTGAGTTGCCAGAACGCACCCAGTCAAAATGAAAAGAGTTCCCGGATCTTGTTCCGGCAGGATCCGGCTCAAATTAAGTGTGAGAAAAAAGTAGCGGCTTGTACACCGGCATTTACAGTAAACAAGTCCAAAAATATATATATTTGCAGAAGAAAACGCTAAGCCGCTAATGGCTAACACGACTGTCTGCGTCACACGTCTTCATCGCCTTCCACTTGAAGCGTCCTCGACCAACCACGTCCAGTCACGTGTGGACGTAGTCAGCCAATAGCACGCCAAACAAACTCTTCAGACACGCCCACAACAGACCAGTTGTGAATTTGTTAACACGCTTAATAATAATAATGAATTTAATTTGTAACGCACTTTTCATTAACAAAAATCTCAAAGTGCTACAGAGTGCAACTAAAATCAATGATAAAATCAACTAAAATCTGTGATAAAATCAATGATAAAATCAACTAAAATCAATGATAAAATCAACTAAAATCTGTGATAAAATCAATGATAAAATCAACCAAAATCAATGATAAAAATAAACTGAAATCAATGATAAAATCAACTAAAATCAATGATAAAATCAACTAAAATCTGTGATAAAATCAATGATAAAATCAACTAAAATCAATGATAAAATCAACTAAAATCTGATAAAATCAACTAAAATCTGTGATAAAATCAATGATAAAATCAACTAAAATCAATGATAAAATCCGTGATAAAATCAATGATAAAATCAACTAAAATCAATGATACAATCATGTGGAGGCAGAATAGGCTTGCTTAAAAAGAAAAGTCTTTAAGCCTTTTTTAAAGTCAGTCAATGATTGTGGAGCTCTCAGATAGTCAGGGAGGGAGTTCCAGAGGTGGGGGGCAGCCACACAGAATGCCCGATCTCCCATGGTTCTTAATTTAGTTCGTGGAAGGTGGAGGAGATTACTGTTCTGCGATCGTAGGGACCAGGTGGATGAATATGGAGCAAGAAGGTCCTTCAGATAATCTGGTGAATTTCCGTATAAACACTGAATTCTGTAGGTGACAGGAAGCCAATGGAGGTTATGGAGAATGGGTGTAATATGTTCAAATTTACGAGCTCTCAATAAGATCCTGGCTGCACTGTTTTGAGTATTTTGAAGCTTCTGAAGGTTTTTGCCGGGTATTCCAGTAAACAGGGAGGTGCAGTAGTCGAGCCTGGAGGTTACAAAAGCATGGACGAGTTTCTCTGCATCAGCAAAAGTGAGAGATGGGCGCAGTTTGGAGATATTTCGAAGATGGAAGAAACAGGTTTTAAACAGATGCTTAATGTGATTTTCAAATGTAAGATGAGAGTCCATTTTTATTCCAAGATTTGTAACAGAGGTGGAGAGGGGGATGTCTTGTCCAGAAAATGAAATAGTCGTTATAGTTGAAGTTTGAACCTGGTGAGGGGTGCCAATCAGTATGGCCTCTGTTTTGGAGCAGTTTAACTGAAGAAAGTTCTGAGTCATCCATGCCCTTATCTCCTCCAGGCAGGTAGAGAGGGCAGCGAGTGAAGATGGAAATGACAATGGTGAAGATGATGCTCCAGTCCTGATGTAAAGCTGTGTATCGTCGGCATAACAGTGAAAAGAAATGTACTGATTAATAATTTGACCTAAAGGCAGCATGTAAAGGGAAAATAGCAGGGGCCCTAAAACTGACCCTTGAGGGACACCACAGGAGACACAGACAGTCTGGGACTTGGCATTGCCAAGACTAACACATTCCAGCCTATTGGAGAGGAAATATTTAAACCAGTCCAGGACAGTGTCACAGAGACCGACCTCCACATGAAGACGGTGGAGGAGGATACTATGGTCCACAGTGTCGAAAGCTTAAAGTTGGCGAAACCTAATTTAGCAGAAGCTAATTTAGCAGAAGCTAATTCCGCCAGCGCGTTCCAAAGTGAGCGAAAACGCTAATTTGCTGTTAGCGGAACTGCGCCCACAAATAAAATTAAAGATCATAAAACCGTGTTTGTTTTGTCGCCGCAGTCGTGCGAAAACGCCATCGTCTGCTGGAAACCAGGGAAAATGGAGGACGACATCGACCACATCAAGCCGAACGAGTCCAACGTGACGATTCTGGGGCGTTTCGATTACAGCCAGTGTGACATTTGGTACATGAGGTTTTCCATGGACTTCTGGCAAAAGGTCCAATAACGTTTCTTCCTTTTGTGTGTTTTTATTTTTAACCCCTTCTGGCCGACAAACATGACCTCCGGGTGTTTTCTGTTTGTTTTGGGTCGTTGTGCGTCCACAGATGCTGGCTCTGGGAAACCAGGTGGGGAAGCTGTACGTGTGGGACCTGGAGGTGGAAGATCCTCACAAAGCTAAGTGAGTGACGGGTTTTATGAACAGATGTGGAAAAAGAAAGTTCACCTCTGGAGTTCTAGGGTTTTAAATACTAAACTGATCAGATTCCACCGTGTTGCTAATTATTCAACAAAACTCTGCGTGAAAAACTGTTTCCACCCAGCAGCTGCTGATTCAATGTATTGATTAAAAGATCAACAATAGTGGGATTATCTCTGTTAAAAAAAGCAGGAGTTTTTGCTGCTCTGGAGCATAGAGGTGTGTGTTAACACAACGCCAAGACAGAAAGTCATCAGCAATGAGCTTAGAGAAGCAACAGTTTCCGCCCATCAATGTGGGAAGGGTTCATTCTGTAGAAGAAATGCAACTCGCGTGTGGAAAACATTGACAACAGACGACGGTCTTCCCAGGAGTGGAAGCTAATTCAACCCGAAGGTCAGACCGTGCAATAACCTCTTCTCTGAAAACAACATGGCGGCACAACCTAGGTTTGGAAAGTTTCATCACGAGACTTCTGCAACAAAACCAGACCAAAGGAGAGATTATTACCCAGAATGCACAGCATCAAACCAGCTGTGAAGCACGGTGGTGGATGGCTGATGGTTTGGGCTCCGTGTAGTCACTGAGTCGATCTAAACTCCGCTAGACCAAAGGGTTCCAGAGTCTGATGTGAGAACATCTGTCCAACAGCTGGAGCCTGATGATGCAATAACGACCCCGAGCACAGCAGCTAATCAACAACAGAGTGGACGTGCTGCGACGGTCAATAACAGCACTGAGAAATCTGTTCACTTGAGGTTGGATCTGCAAACGTTTAAAAGTATTTTTATTTTCTCCTGATCCATAAAAGCTTCAAACGGAAAGAGGGTGTACTTTCTTTTTCTGACGACTGTAACAGACGTGTTCCTGAGCAAAAACAGGAATTTATTCACAAAGTGTGGTTGTGATGTGTGTGTGTTCAACTGGAACCTGTTTTCAGGATGAAACAAAGTGGAATAGAGATGAGTCTACGTTTTGCTGAATTTTCATGAGTGCCTAATAAAGGTTTCCGTCGGGCTCTAAACACCTCATTGTTGCGTATTAAGCATTCACACTATTGTGATCCTGTTTATATTTTTATCCTACAGTTACTATCCCTGGCGTCTTATCTCGTCGTTTTCAGGCTATCAAATCTAATATCGAATCATTCAGCTTGTTCAGGAGAAGGGCGCTGTGACTTTTGGTATTGGTGCAACTTTAGCTTTTTGAAATATTTAGCCTTTTCTGACACTTTTTTTTTCCTCATAGAAAATGAATTGAGCTCATTTTAAATCCTTCATATTTTTAGATCTGTTTACAACCTTTTACTGCTCCTTTCACATTTTCTTCTGGTTCAGCCTTTTTCAGTTTCCTTCTGCAAATTAAAATTTTTTTTAGCTACTTTCAGATTATTATTTTTTTCAGCCGTTTTTGCACTTTTCGGAATCTTTCTTCTAACTACAACATTTTTGTGCTTCTTGTAACTTCTTTCGGTTAATTTCAGTTTTTTTTTCTGCAAGTTTCAGCCTTTTCTATTACTTCAGCTACTATTTAGCTGTTTTCATGCTAATTTTAGCTTTTTCAGCTAGTTCCATATTTTTGGAACTTGTTTCAATGATTTTCAGCCTAATTTGGCAAAATTTGCCCTCTTCACTTCCTTCTGGTAATTTAAGCTTCTTTTTGCTTTTTGAGCTACTTTTCAGCTGAGTTTTGCTAATTTCAGCTTTTTTCAGATAATTTCCACTTTTTGTGCTCATTTCTGCTTCTTTCAGCCTAATTGAGCACTATTGTGCTCTCCACTTCCTTCTGGTAATTTAAGCTTCTTTCTGTCATTTCAGCTAATTTTCAGCTATTCCCTTCTAATTTCAGCTTTTTAGCTAATTTACTAATTTTTCTGCTCATTTTTGCTGATTTATACCTAATTCAGCAAATATGTGTTCTTTCTGTTTTCTTCTGCTAACTTTGGCTTGTTCTTCCACTTCAGCTACATTTGAGCACGTTTTTAGCTAATTTCAGCTTTTTTTTGTCAGTTTCTGCCTTTTCTACTATTTCAGCTACTATTTATTTGTTTTCATGCTAATTATAGCTTTTTCAGCTAGTTCCATATTTTTGAAACTTGTTTCAACAATTTTCAACCTAATTCAGAAAAAATTGCGCTCTCCACTTCTGGTAAT